GGATGGGATAGGGTAGCATGGTTTGAACTCTGCAGGGAGGGCTCTCCCAGGGCTTTCAGACTGGTAAAACAGCCTGGTGCCAGTGGGCCCTTCCCTGCATGGTGTCAGAAGGGAAGTGGGGAATTCTTCAAGCTGTGCTCCAGCCTGGAATTTCTTTTTAGGCAGCTGATGTCAATCTTACATTAATTGTTACAAATGGATGTTGCAGATTTTCTGTGCAGAATACCCATCCCAAGTAGAGGTTATTAGAGAGAAATGACAATTTTCCCTTTCAGATTTCATGCTTGAGGCTAAGATCTCATTGGAGATAGAGTTGTTCAGATTATACTGCATCATAGCTGAGTACAATATCCCATTCTCCCCCTTTAAAGTCCAATCCAGGAGACAAGTCTGCTGTGTCAGCACAGTACTGTGGGGTTGGTTCTTTCTTTTTCATTACTGCCTCCTCCCAGGAGAAAAATAAATGGCTTTATCTACTTCTGAGCCTTATTCCTAGACAGATATGGCAGGATACTCTGCATTGCTTTTGGCCAACCACATTTTAAGGAAGGGATTATACAGTTAGGACACAGTTAGGACAAGTTAGAAGAGTAGCACTAAGTCAGTTTTTTCATCTAATTTTGTAACACTGCAACCTTCATTGGGCTTAATAAAGTACTTAAATAGAGCTGTATTCCTTAAAATAGAGCTGCTTCCTTCCTGGAACTTGATGTAGTTGTATTTCAAATATAAAGTATTAACTGGAACAAAATAGCACAATTTTGAATGTGAACTAAGATGCTGCATGTGATTGGTAATTTTTTATTGCTAATCTGCTGAGCTTCTGTGTAAAGCTTACAGAACCAAGCCTCACTGTGAAATTTCTTCTGATACTGTTTTAAATCATAAGGTGAAGAAAATGATGGAAACTCCCATCTCCCATCTTGTGGTGTGGTTTGTGAGAGCCTCTTGTGGCTGTGAGCGGGGGCTGAGCTGGCCCCAGCATTCCTGAGCCAGGCTCCAGGCTCAGCTGGAAATGCTCCTGCTTTGCAGCAGTGGGGAGAGCCTGGCTTGGGCAGGGCAGGTGTGTGGGATGGATAAAAGGGAGGCTGGGCTGGGCTGCTCCAGTGTCTGTGGTCACTGTCAGTGCCCACCCAAAGCAGGCTGGGGAGGCTCCCCCCTTTGCAGGGGTGCAGGACCCCCCCCTCAGCTTGAATTACCAAGCAAATCCATCACCAGTGAAACATAAAATTGTGTCACTTGCTTCAAACAATGAGAAAGGAAGGCACTGCACACTTTCTTAATTGGCTTTTTTCTTCTTTTTTCCCTCTTTTACACTGAGACAAGAACTTGAGAGAACAAAATGTTAAGAGGAGATAGAGAATACTGGCTACGTTTTTATGTGGTGGGACAATGTATTTTTGGAGTGTTAATGCAGGGCTAGATAGAGAAATAAAGTGGGGAGGTTAGGATTTTTCCTAACCTAAACAGATCCCCTGCTCAGTTTGGCATTGTGGTAGTGCTGGAAATCAGAAATCAATAATAGGATTTCACTATCTGGATCAGCCTCTGGCTGTCTGCAATATGTTCAGGAAATCACTTCCCATCTCTGCTTCCATTTCCTTGGCTGTCAAATGAGCACAGCCATAACTGCCTGCTCTGAGTGCTGCAGCTGCATTAGAGCAATAAAACGCAGGGGAGAAGGAGTCACAGGTGTGATTTATGAATCCAGCAAGGTCAGGCTGCAAACAGCTGAAGGAATCACAGAGTGAGGGAAGGGTCTCCTGGAGCTGAGCAGGTGCTGATGTGCACTGTCCATGCCCAGGAGCTGAAGCAAATCCCTCCAGCCCAGCCTGAGCAGGGGCAGCTCAAAGCAAAGTGGTTTTGTTTCTCTCCCACCATGCTCTGAGTCCTTCAAGCATTTGGTGCCATCGGGTTTTTCAGGAAGGGGTTTTGCTTGTTCAGTTCTTCTGGGTGGATGTTTTATTATAATGTTTTATTAAGATGCTCTGCATGGGTGTTTCCCCACATATAACTACTTATAACATGATTTTATACTTGAAGGCAATAAAATAAAACAACCCAATGAGATAAGATATTGAGATAAACAATTATGAGGAATGTTTATACACTGCAAGAGTCTCCTAAATTTGATAAGCATCAGTTCAACCCAATATACCCCATGGTGCTAAAGAAAGAAAAAAGAAATCAATATTGCAGAAGCTTTTACAGAGAATTTATGAGCACTTTGTTCAGGATCAGTTCATGAAGACTGAAGCATAGCTAGCACTGTGCTCTTACTTATGGAAATGCTAACTGAGAAATCCTTTGTTGAATTCACAATCTTTTTCAGGGAATTAAATTGGGAAATATGGCAATGGGCTTTTAAATTTTTTTTTCCATTTATTCGTGTATACTCAGAAGAAGAAAATGCTGTAATATAAATTATCAAACTCCTTTGAGAAATGTGGCTGAATAGACAGTAGCAGTGTGGTCCCTGCCAAAGTTCTTGGGCATGCTTGCTCCAGTTTCTATTTTACAAGATAAGTGGAATAGTTGGACTGGTTTGTGGTAGGAGTTCCCCTTAAGATAGATTTTCACTGTATTTAGGTACTTCCCAGTTAGGGTTTGTAGCATAAATAGATATTAACATGCAGCAGTCCCTATCACCTTTCAAAGAGCTGGAAGCTGTTTCCTATGCCATGCCTGATGCTTGCATGATCTGATGCTTGTTTCAGGTACTATTTACTGTCAGTGTTCCCAGGAAAGTGTTGCTGTGCTGATTCCTTGCTGGAGAAGGTGCCAGGCACACAGGGCATCCCTCAGCCCAGCCCATGGCCAGGGTGGTGCTGAAGGAGGGAGGTGATCCCTCCAGGGACCCAGAGCACTCACAGGTGCTCCTGCTCACAGCTGGGAACTGAAATACAAGCAAGGAGAGCCCAGAGATGGAGCAGGGTTGATGGAATTGATTAGCAGGCATTCAGAAGAGGTTGGCAGCTATGACAGGACACCCCCCAACACCCAGTGCCAGGCTAAAGGGAGCAGCACTGCTCACATAAGAACAGCAGGGTAGAGGGTTCTGACTGTGCAGTCTTTACCTTCACTTTCCACCCTTATCTCCCTATTTGCACACACAAAATCAATTTACAGACACAAAATCTATCTTACAGCTCTTGTTCCTGCTGATGGCTGGATTCTTACTGAGGCACTCACAGGGCTGTGTGAACAGGAGTCTTGTCTGTCTGTCTGTGTAGTGAAACTTAGTTCTTATATGCACTTTAAAGGTTTCAATGAAAAGCATCAAGAATCAGGAGCATCTTTGGTTGAAGAGATCATCATCTTAAGTTACACCTGTGTTGTGCCTTTCTGCCATGCTGCACCACAAAATCTCCCTCATATTTATCTTCATGTCCTGGTGGTTGCATAGTGGAGCACAAAACTCCACAGCAGAACCTGAGAGCTGTGTTTGGAGGGTGTCCTTATCACACCCAGCTGGAGAGCCTTGATCTGGTTCTCTAAATAAAAATCCAGTACTTCTGGTGAAAGGAGGGGATGGAGAAGCTTTGGACATGTGATGGGTTTATTTCAATGAAAACACTATACTGAAATTATTTCTAATTCTTATGACTATTAAATAGCCTCAATAGTTTCAGGCTGCAGCCAAGCCAAAGCTGGCTGGGTTTGTGTTGGGAGGATTATTCAGTTGAAATGTATAAAAGCATCTCGTAGTCACTTTCATTTCATGGTGTTTTGTGTCATGAAAGTGAAATTTTCTTATATGTTTGCCCAATGTACTTCATTTATGTTTTTATCTTTACCCTTTTCTCTTTGTTTGCTTTAAGGGGGTTGATTTCAGATTCCATAGTAATTGTGGGATTTGGTGCTGCTTTATGAATGCTTTGCAGATCATGGCTTTCATGTTTGCTACTTGCACCTCCCTCTGCAGCAACGCTGAGCACTTGCTTGGTCCCTTTGGGTGCTGCAGAGCAAAGAGGCATTGGGCTGACAACCAGCAAGGAGAAAACAGCTCCAGAACTACACAGAAGCTCACATCTCTGCTCACTGGCTGTAGTTTTTGCCCTAAGGCAAGGTGACAGTGGCATGTCCTCCCAGCAGGAGGCAGCTAAGCACGATCAATACAGGCAATGGGAATATCTGCATGACAGATCAAGGAGAGCCTGTGTTTGTACTCCTGGGGGTACATGGCAGGAGGGATCTCTCCAGCTGCCAGCAGGTGATCTCAGTAATGCTGCCAGAGGTCTCCAGGGACAGATGGGAGCACTGCATACCCAACCAGAAGGTGAGGGCAAAGCAGAGGCTCCCCATGCTTTGCTGAAAAGAACACAGGCTCCTTCTGATCAGTGTTTGAAGTGGAAGTGTTCCCAGGATCCAGCAGCCTGGGTTTTGACCTTTCTGCATGGCTGTTTACCAAATTTGTTTGTGATTTCTCTGAGCCACCTCTCTGCTGGCTTGCGCTGCAGCATCTCCATCTGTGCCTAGGAGGGCTCTGATGCCAGACTTCATGAGGGCATTGGTCACAGGCTGTAATTTAGACATTAATACTCTCTCAGCAATAAAACCATTACTTGGATCTCCCCCAGGGAATTGTCTGGTCCTTTTGTATGAGCACTCCTTTGTTCTCATCTCACTTTTAACAGTTGTCTTGCTAGAGCATTGTTTCGGTGAATCATATGTATCAAAATGTGTTTTCCTGTTCTCCCACTTGTCTGTGCTTTTTTTTCTTCTTGTTAGTCTTACTAAAATGTCTCCAGTTCTGTTTCCCTTTAAATGTCTGAATAATTAGCAGCAGTGGGCACAGAAAGATTTCTGTGATGTGAGCTGTATCGGTAAGTGTTTGACAGGGCTTAATGACTAGGGGAGGGGGGACAGTGGGGAGAGCCTTTATTCAGCAGCAGCTCTCCAGCACTCCCTCGGTTTCCTGTTGGCAGGGAGAGCTTTCAGTCAGCTTTTCCAGCGTTCCTCTCATTTTTAAATGCATGTTTCCCAAATCTACTCCACAGGTGCCAACAAAAAAGCTGAAGAAATATGAGAGAGAGTACCAAACCATGCGAGAGAGCCAGCTGCAGCAGGAAGATCCTATGGACAGATACAAGGTAGGGAGATGCTCTATGGGAATGTGGTGAATCCCACCAGGAGTGAGCTGTCTCCAGCAGTTGAGTAGAGGTGTGTGTAGCATGCTCACCTCCCTGGGATGTGCCAGGGATGCAGACCTTAGGGAGGCAAAGGTGAACTCATCCCCTTTCTTGAATAAGCATTTTGAAACTTTGGGCTTAGTCTTTTTTTTTCCCAAGAATACTTCAATCACAATTTATAACTCTTAAGACATCTGCAAGTAGCCACATATAATATTTTTCTTCTTTCAGTTTATATGTTTGTAGGTAACTCTCCTGCTGTTGCACTTTTACGGGAGATCTTCATGAGCCGCAGAAACAAAGGGTGATTCAGCTACAGACACAGAAAGGAGAAAATACACATTGTTCTAGTGCAAGCTGTGTGCAGTGGCATCCACAGAGACTTTGGAAGATGAACTCTTCCTTGGCTGATATGATCCTTATTATTCATTCCTGTTTATACCAAGCTTCAGTAATTTTTTGTTAAGATAAAACCAATTGTGGTGGGACCCAGAGCTCTTCTGGGGTCCTGAGGTACTACTGCAGTAGAGTTAATAGTGATGGATATTCCTCTTCAAAGGAGCACAGAAAGAAGGTTCAGTTGTTCATATGATAGCTTGATAGTTCACTGAAAAAGAACAGTACTACAATTTCAGCTCAGCTTTGCTTATCTTTACAATGTATTTGCTTTCATTGTCACTGCTACGTTCTGCTGCCATAGATTTTGTGTGCTGGAGGCTCTGCCTCTGGGCACAGCCTTAACTGAGAGTTTGGGATCTGGTTATTCCTCACTCTGTTTGGAACAATTCAGTTTGCTCCAGGTGAAGCTGCCAGGGGTGCCTGCTGCCCAGGATAGCTGGGAACTGACATTTCTTACATATCCTGGTACTGTTTGCCTGCTGTTCTTCATTGTGCCTTAATATGTTAGTGCCACTGTGGTGGTTGTGGGGTCTTCCAGGGCTGGGGAGGGGTGGATAATCAAATCACACAGAGTGCAACAGGCTTGACATGGCCTGTGAACATAAGAAAAGTGCACCACGTTCAGGAAATGGAGATCTGTGGTGAGAGAGTGTGCCTTAATTCATAAATGTGACAAAGGAAACTTACAGGTACAAAGTCAAACTGACTCTTTCTTTTTTTTTTTTTTTAAGCATTTGTCTGTGAGAAAATTATATTTTAAGTGTAGGTTTTTTTTGCTGTCAAAGGGTGGAGATTTTATTGTTTATGAGACTTAGGAGTGCTGTAGCTGCTGAGAACCAATAGCAAGTATGACCTATTTGGAAAAAACCACAACTGGCTGCTGATTAACTCTTAAGTATTTTCCTAGTGGTTCACTTATAGTACTGTGGAATTAAAATAATGCTTAGGAAACAAAGAAGGGTTCTTTAAAGCTCAGTGGAAGCATATTAACTAGTTAATCCTGGTCAATGCACTGTGAAGAACATTATCCCAAGCTGCAAATGAGGATATAGGAAGTGACTCTTGGGCCACTGTTGATGTGAGTCACTGTCACAGTCAGGATCACAGCCCAGGCTTTTGGCTTGTGCTTCTGAAACTCACTGTGGATTTTTTTATTAAGCTGTGTTGGGTCTGATCCTCTTAAGGATGCTGTGATTAGACAGTCCCTGTAATAGGTTAGTTGCATATTAACTTCAAAGTCTGGACACGTTTTTCAGTTGATGGAAAAATGCTTGTAAATATTCTTTGCTCCTTGTCTTGCTTGTTAGATTTTATTGATATGTGAAGTTAAGGTTTTGTAGGAACTGACATTTCAGGAGTGTTTCCAAAGGGCAGCAAGAAAATGTCATTGTGTGGATCCTCCCAGCAGCACGTGGAGAGGCAGCCTTGCTTTTGCTTGTCCTTTAGGAGAGCACTCTGCAGCCTGCATGGTCAGAGATGCTTTTCATTTGGGCAGCACCTCTGCAGGGTTCAGCAGCCAGGCTTGGCTTGGGAAGGACAGAGCCAGCCTTGCCTGCAAGCACAGCACTGCTGTCAGCTCCTGCTCTCTGGGCTGTGCCCTACAACCTTGTCATTTTTACAGTTTCCCCTCCCAAAACAAAGGGAGGATTTGCTGCCTAGGAAGAAGGGGATGTTTCTTGCATGGGATCACTGGAGTAGAGATCCCTGCAGAGCGTTCCTCATATGGGTCAGGAGGGAAAAGAGCTTTAAATCAATTGATAGTTTTCAGCTCTAGTTGTTAGAGTTGTTGTTACCAGCAGGAATTTGCCAGGCCCACAGGCTGCAGGGAGCTGCAGAGATGAAGGATGCCTGAGTGAGGCACCTCCCTGTGACACTGCCCTCAGAGGAAGTCCCTGATGGCCTCTTGAGAGAGAGGGAGATGGGCTGGGACTGCAGTGCCTGGCCCAGGAACCAGCTGTGTTTGCCTGACAGGTTCCATTCACCTGCTCCCATGAGCTGTGTTAAACACAGCAGCTCCTGCCCAGCACTATTTTACATGTTGGGATTTGATTTACCAGAAGATCAGTATTAAAGAGTGTCATTATTTTTGGTGTTTGTTTCGTTCTGTATTTACAAGTATTATTTAGGAAAAGTGAAAGTTTTTCTGGACATGTTTTCACTTTATTTTCCATTGTTTATAACAAATTATCATATTTTTGTCAGATTTTTAAAAGGTGCAAAAGTGAAATATGTTCTAAATTGTTGTTCGTCACCAAATTTTGGAACTTTTAGTTAAATTACAAATTCCCTATAGAAACTAGGAAGAAAAGTGAGTCATATGTGTAGAAAAAATAGTAATAGATTTCAGGTTGATGTTTTTCTAAATATTATGGAGTTTTATTTCTGTGTTTGAGACTGCCTCATGTAACAAGATTTGGGTTAACTTGATGAGAAAATCCCAGAAGTGAGCCTGGGAACTGATTTAAAACAAAGAGGATGTAGTTGTACAAAGAAGGGCTGGAGTTTCGCAAGCAGATGCTGCTGTTCTGTTCCACCTTTTCCTCTGTCACCCTCCTTGTGCAATGGAGAAGTTGTGTGAATAAATGTGTAATTTGGACATAACAGCCTTCTCTGTGTTTGGAAGGGGAAGCAAAAATGAATACACTGATCATTTTTATTCAGTCAGGGCAAGTGAATGTTAACCATGAGGAAAATCATGATGAGTTTTGCTGTGGGACATTGTCTGTTGTTTATTTTAAAATTGTGCTGGGGCACTTTGGGAAATGCTTCTCCAGAGTCACCAAACAGAAAACACAGCTGCCTCCAGGAGCCTCTGTGTTGCTTGCCTTGAGAGGCTTTCCTGGATCACTTGCTGTAAAAGCTTTTTGGCTTTCTGAATGGAGGTTCACAGGATTTTCCTTTGGAGCTCCTCCAATATCAAGAGCCCTTTCCATTGGGTTTATGAAGACCTCTGTTTGCTCACATCCAGAAAGTGAATTTTAATCAGTGTTTTCATTCCATCGTTGGGCAGCTGTTCACACTCACAGGTCTGGGGTTTGGATGTCTTCATTTAACCCAGCCAGCTGCTTGCTCACTCCACCACAAGGCTGGGGGAGAGAATCCCCAGAATAAGAGTGACAAAACTTGTGGGTTTGTGGTTGAGATGAAGACAGGTGAATGTTTAGCCATCTCCAGGAGAGCAGGGCTCCATCACACATAATAGTGCCTTGAGAAGCCAAATGCCATCACTCCAAGGTTCCCCCTTCTGTGTCCTTCTCCCTGCTTTACACACTCAGCGTGGTGCCACGTGGGCTGGGCTGTCCCTTGGGTCACTTGGAATCAGCTGTGCCTCCTCCCAGCTCGGTGGGTACCCCCAGCCCCCTCACTGGTGAGGAGCTACAAGAAGCAGGAAAGGCCTTGGCTCTGTGCAAGCCCTGCTCAGCAGTAACCAAACCATCTCTGTCCTGTCAACACCTTTTCCAGCACAGAGCCAAAATGCACTAACCACCATGAGGGAAAGTAACCCTCCCCGAGCCAAGGGCAGCACAGGGTGTTGCTGAACAGAAACAGAATTGCTTAAGAGGTTGGTGACTCATTACACCCCACTTGTACAGCACAGAGAGGATGCATCATGGCCACTAATCTCCTCAGGAATTGCTCCTTGCTGCAGCCTGGAAGGGAGCAGAGGGTGGAGTTCAGCCTTTCAGTCATCCTGAACTGAGGCTTGCCTACTGCTTTCGAGTTTGTCATCTTCTTTCCACCCAGTGTGTGATGGAAGCGGGAGCATCTCTCTCTAAAACTCTTAACAAAAAACCCAGTGAAGAATAAGCAACTTTTTTTTTTTGTATTAGAAATTTCTTTTTATCCCGTTTTCACTGTGTTTACACCAATGGTTGAAAGCAGTAATTGGTCTGTGACTTTACAGGAGGTAAGTTGATTTGTGTTTGTGTGTATCAGCTTTGTTTGTCCTCTTTGGAAATGCAGTATCCTCCTTTTAAAAGCTAACCTGAGTTCACCAGCCACCTTCAGTAACCAGGAGGAGGAATTTGGGAAAGAGGGATCTGTTACTTTACTGACTGTAGAAACTGAGCAGTTTCTGAGACTGAGGAGAAGGAAATGGTTGTCATAGTAAATGTAGTGTTGTGGAGAGGAGGCAGGAAGCTGTCTGTTTACACCAGGGACAACCAGCAGGTCTGACTAGTTGGCTGATGCCATTACAAATGCTGCCTCTGATGTGAGTCCTGCTCTGATGTGAGTCCTGAGCTCCATCTGCTGAACTTTGCCATTGTGAGCATATTTCATAAAACTCTAAATATTTCACAGCCTATAGAAATAGTTTGCTACACGTAGAGAGCGCTGTTTGCTCTTTCTGTCTTCACTGTGTCCTGTTAGTTTTTATTTAGACTCAGGCAGACTTAAGAGTTTCCTCCTGAGAAGGGAGGCAATTTTACACTGCTGGACCTGGGGGGAGGAGCTGAGAGAGACAAACCAGCTAATCAGGCATTCTGCCCTGGGTGGAGGAAGAGTAAAGGTGATCCTGTAAGAGCCTTGCAGCTGGACATTCAGAGTTTGGTGAATGAGCTAAAAGCATCTTGTAGCTATTGGCTGGATGCCCAAGGTAAGAGATCTTTAACTCACTTCCAACCTGGCATGTGAATCCTGGTTTAAGAGGAGGATAGTGCATTTCCAAGCACAGAGCTTGCTTACCCACTTGTCTGCAAATGCAAAGCAGGAACTCTCAGCTCACACTGCGTGCCTTGCTTGGCAGACACTGAAGCTTTTGGCAAAGACAGAGCAAAAATGGTAAAGCCAACTTGGTTATTTTGTCAAAGTCATAAGAATTTGCTGCTTTCTTCCTCTCAGCAACATCCCTGTGAAAAGGTATTGGTGCTGCAGAACCTGGTCTGACTCAGGTTTCAAGTTTTAGGTGAACTCAGGTTCTGACAACCAGCAGAGCCTATAAAAATAAGCATTTCTAAGATGGTCTGAACGAAATACAGGAATAAAGATGTGTTAGAGATTGTTGTTAGTATTATCATTATTGACTGCAATTTGGTTTTACACTTTAAAGCTTATATTATGTTTAGAGAAAAATTTTACTTTGATTTTTAAAATTCTTTGTCCCAAACAGACTGAAGTGCATTTAAAATAAGAAAGATCCCCAAAGTTGTGTGTGTTTTAGCAGTGGTTATTTTAACTGTGTTAAGACAAAGGCATTTTATTTAGCTTCTGTACAAAACAAGTTATTCAAAGTACAATCTTTTGGAAGGGAAACCATCTTACTTCCCTGGGCAGGGCAGTCCCTATTCTAGTTACACAATAGGGTCACATTAAAAAGAGAAAATTTGTAGAGGTTCCACTTCCTGCCACAGAGGAAGTTCCACACAGAAGAGACCTTTTTTTGCATCCTCTTAGAGCTCCTGGTTTTGTTTAAGACAAACATGCAAAATCTGCTTGCAACAGAAATAAAAATTGCAATTTCATAGCTGGTGAGTAGGAAGAAGTGAAAGCAGGTGAATAACTTATGCAAGAAATCACATTTTGTAGGAATGCATTCACTGAACAACTCTTGAAAAATGTTACAAGTGCTAAAATATATGTTATTATATATCATTGACTTTACTGATATATTTGGACTTTCATTGTTTTGTTTTGGAGAGTTACCTTTCAAGTGAGAATAAGTCCTTTTTGAAATCTCAGCATATAGGTTATTGTTTTTCCACCTGTGAGTTTCCATATGAACGTGGTGCTTTTCCTTGAATTTCCATAGTACAGAGATTCCTTTTGCAGCCTGTTTTGGTATGAAAGACATACAGTGATGGAAAGCCAGCACAGTATTTTTGTCTTAAAATCCATTTGGAGGAAGGCACCTCTGTCTGTCCCACCTGGCTGTGTTCTTCTGAAAATGAGAACTTGTATTTGATGTTGAACCCTTAGAAGGCCACGGACCCACAGGCATCTTTTGAATATGGTTCTGTTTCTCAACCCTAGAGCAGCAGTCACAGATTTCTAAAAGACATGAATGACTGTTCATTCTCCTGTTCCTTCACCTCCTGTGGTTTATGCTCCAGATAGTCATTTCTGCCTGTGTGGAGTGGGTAGGGAGGGCAGTGAAGCAAGAGCCTGCAGCCTCCAGGTTGTGCATTTTGTGTTCCTGTCACTGCCCCCAGCAGGTGCTGGGCTCAGGGCTGAGCTCCCCTGTCCACCTGGCACTGCAAGGTTCACTCAGGTGTCACTGGCAGGAGGCACAGAGCAGTGCACAAATGGTGGCACAGGATGTTGGAGCTGTAGGGAGTTCCCTGCTGAATGCTGTTCTTGGCTGGCCCCACAGGAGAGGGGAAGTTGGCACTGCATCACCTACAAAGTGCACTATTTTTATGGATCCCTGCAGACAGGATTTTGTAAAGTGGAGCAGGACAGCTTCCTACTTTGCTTGGAAGCATTATTATGAGTAACTGTTAATTGGTCCCTGTTCACTGCTGCTGGGTGGGATTTATCTGCCTGATTCCTTTCGATGATGAGCAAGCAGAAACCCAGTGCTTTTGTGGAGAGGTCAGTGTTTATTTTTGACAGGGAAACACTACAATCAGTGTGTCCCTTTCACAACACAAACCAGTGGGATGGAAGTGGAATAGCTGCATTTGCACTGCTGGCTTAATTCACTGTTGTTTCCCAGAGCAGCAGTCCTGTCTTAATGTGCACTCCTGCCTTCTCAGTGTTTGGCACACACCATGCATTGCTCATTGCTCTTCATGAGGATTGATTTCCTTTCCTGGTTGTTCCTCTCTTTGCACAGAGGGAGAACCGCAGGCTCCAAGAAGCAAGCATGAGGCTGGAGCAGGAGAACGATGACCTTGCCCATGAGCTTGTGACCAGCAAAATTGCCTTAAGGAACGACCTGGACCAGGTAATGGGAACAGAGCTGGCTCCCAGCTCAGGCCTGGCAGCAGCAGTTGGAGCAGCCCTGCTTTGTGCTCAAGTGAAAACATGAACACGTTCAAAGTGTGATTATTTTTGCCTTTATTTTCCTGACAGCCTCACTCCTAGCTGCACTCAGCTGTATTTCCATGTGCCACTGTAGGCATTCAGTGGGGTCTGGCCAAGACTGATTGCAGCTCCTCCGTTGGGGATTGTTTAGAAAATGTAGGCCATAACCTTTAGGCAGACAGCAGAGAACAAACATTTCCTTGAAAAAGGTGCCATGTAGTCCTTGGGAGAGTAGTTTCAAGCATTGCAAAATGTCTGTGTGGATCTGTTTTTCACAGCACTTCTAGTACAGCCAACAAAATTCAGAGATAATGAAGTGGCACAGCACCAAAAATTCAACGGGCTCCTGGGTGTTCACTGATAACTGCTGGTGTTCCCTGTGGAGACTGGAATGTGGAGGGCAGCAGCATTCAGAGCCCTTTGCCCCAGACACAATGGTTTTCAGAGAACCACACATTCAGCCCTCTCTTTCTACACTGCAGGTGCTTGGAGAAACTGGAATGAACACAGAAAAGGAGGAAAAATTTGTAGTTCCTTCAAAGCATATCTTAAACAGGTCTTTGATCAAAAATATCCTTATAATCCCTAAGTACTTTTGTTCTAAGATGTTAACCTCATCAATTTTCCATTCTTGCACCATTTGTTTTCCTTTCTCCCATACAGTCTTATACACACTAAGCATTGAAGAAATCCCTAATCCATCTCTTCAGCCATAGAGATGGTGGAGCTGGTTCTGCTGCCCTCAAACACCACTAATATCCTCATTAATCATTATTACTGTGTCAGAAAGATAGGATTATGCCACCACAGTGGTAGAAAACCAGACTTCAGCTCAGAGACAAGTTCTATATGGTTACTTGTTTCCAATATCCTTTTCCCCCCTGTAATTTCAGCAATGTCAGTGTTAATTGGCCACAACCATTTCCTGTCTGTTCCTCATTACTGAACAGGAAGGGTGGTGACTGCTATGTGTGTTTCCAGCTGGGGAGGCCTACAGAATAAATCAAACATTGAGAAATGTGTGGATATATTGGAATTTCTCTCCTGATGATCAGTGAGGACAGTGCTCAAAAAAGCAAAGGATTCCCAGTGTGTGTCACCACAAGCTTGGTCCTTCCAGAGAAAATTATATTCTCAATTATCAGATTTCTTCATGTAATACTTATTTGCACCAATAAACCATTTTCCTGGTGGTCCTGTCCCTTACACTTGCCTTTGCCTGAACTCTTTGTAGGGTACAATGCACCTAAGTATTTTACAGTTATGTTTTCCCTGCTGCCAGATTAAAAAATGGGATGAGTTATTTGAAGTTACACAGGAGGTAAATCATGCTGCCCTCACTTAGATTAATATTGCTCCCAACAAAAATAATATTCTACACATCACTTTTTGTGCTAGGATATAATATCTGTGTTTATGTGCCACCTGGGCGTAGGTAAACAATTGGCCAAAGGGTCCTTTTGCACAGGTGTTGAAACAGTGAAATAATTCAGTAAATGGGGATTTCATATCAGAAAGTTGTGTGAGCCATTAGAGGGCAGGAAAAGGCAATGCTAAAACCTGAACCTGGTGTATTTCTGAGCTGTACATCCCAGTGTGTGTGTACTGGCACAGAGAACACCTGATTTACACAAGTGTCTCTGACTCTAGGCTGAGGACAAAGCAGATGTTTTGAACAAGGAACTTCTCGTGACCAAACAGAGACTGGTGGAGACTGAGGAAGAGAAAAGGAAGCAGGAAGAGGAAACTGCTCAGGTAAGGCATTCTCCAGCTTTTCCCATTTGGTTAGTAAATGCAAGAAAAACGATATGCAGAAAAGTGTGGGTGTGTTGCAATTGAGAAAATGATTTTGTCCTCAAAATGCAGTTTCAAGTAAAAGTTAGTAATTTTTTTTTCCAAAGTACATTTTTCAGTAGTTTTTGTTTTTTGTTTCCTTGAGCTCTGATTGTTTAGTTTTTCATAGCTTATCCTCTTCCAAATATTGTAATGATTGTTGTCACTGGTGGTGAGCAATCTCAGCGAAGGAGATGTGATCAGACCTCTTAAACATCTAATGGAGGAGATGGAGGAGTTGTTGCCTTGTAAGAGCCCATTCTGGATTCAGCTGCTGGATCACTTCAATAACGTTCCTGCCTGAAGCCAACAGCAGAATGGGGGGGTGGGGGTTGGGAGAATTTTGCTGAGTAGACCTGGTTTCTACTCAGCTGCAAAATACTCAGTCTTTGTTCTGTAATCCCATATATCTAACATGAAGGTTTCAAAAGTGATACCCTGATTTTTATTTTTGCTATTTGGCAACAGTGACTGCAACAATTAATGTTAATTCATTGTGTCTTTCTAAAATGGAGCTCTCTGTTTGCCATAAGTAAGGCAGTGAAGGCTTTTTTCCTCCTGAAAGTGCTCTCCAAGTGGAGTGGTTCTGAAGGAGGGATGAGTTAGCTGTGTTTTCACTCAGTGCCACAGACCCAAACAGATTTTTTTTTCCTCCTGTTATGCAGATGACAGTGTTGAGAGATTCTTCTTGTTCCATCTCCAAACAAACAAACAATCTGGCCAAACCTGCTGTGAGAGTGTGCAGAAAAACAAGAACTAAATCAGTAAACCCCACTTAATAGTAATGCTTTTCTTTGTGTTCTGTGGGCCATGATGTACCACCATTTCACACAGAGAATGGGAATTAAGTTACAGGAGAATTCTCTAACCAGACATAAAGGGTCACAGTACAGACTTCTTGGTTATCACTGATAGAATCAGTATTTGTAAACTGAGTAAATCAGACACTTGTCTGAGAGCTGGAATTTCATGAGCAGCAGCTGTAGAGCTGTTGTAAACAAAGCCAGACACAAAGAAAACAATCAGATTTTGAGAAGTTCTGTCAGTGTAATGTGTAACTTCTCTCCTGCAATTCCTAGCTGAAGGAGGTCTTCAGGAAGCAGCTGGAGAAGGCAGAATCTGAGATCAAGAAAACCACAGCCATTATTGCAGAGTATAAACAGGTACCATTCCAGAGACCCTCTCTCATATTTCTTCTTTCAACCTGTTACAAGAGCTGAATTTTCAGCATTGCAGATCTCATCCTTCAAACAAGCTCCACCTCTCAGGCTTTTGGAGAGCAATGTTGTAATTTGTCATAAATCTTTTTGTGGCTTTCCTAATAGTCTCCCAATTAGGCAGTCAGGAATAACCTGTCTTTCAGCTAATTTTAGTACTGCAGGGTCAATGCTTCTGTACTTTGTGACATAATGCAGTACAAACATCATAAACCAACTCATCCATAAAATGTCCCTGTGTTCTGGTTCTGTATTGAATACTGCTGGGTTTTTGTCATTATCAGCAGCAGTGGAGTTAAGGGGGGAATGCATATACTGAGTGAGGCAGAATTTAAGAAATGTTTGTTCTAGCAAAAGCCACTGTTAAGAAACACACAGATTCTACTTCAGCACAGTAAACTTGAGCTAAGGGATTGCTTTCTCTGCTCCAGATTTGTTCCCAGCTGAGTACCAGGCTGGAGAAGCAACAAGCAGCCAGTAAGGATGAACTGGAAGTTGTGAAGGTGAGAACAATGTCTCTGCACAGGGGGTGTTTCTAACACAGGTGTTGCTGAATGCCAAGGGTACAGAACTGAAATGGGAGCTGAACTTAAAGCACATCAATGGCCCCACATGCATTTTTCAGAAGATGTAAACAAGGAAAGGGTTTATTTCCTTTCACGGTTCTTTTTCTTGCATCAGGCAGTGTGGAACTCTCAAACTGAAGTGCATTTAGTACTTGCCTTTTATTTTTGCTGTTAAAATATATGCCTCTGGTAAAAAATGTAGAGAAAACATCCATCTACTTGGATGTTTTGATTAACTGGAAAAAAAAAGAAGACAAAACATGTTGTTTCTCAGGTGTGCACAGCAGAGGGATTGGAATTGGCCAGATTGGACAAAGTTTATACATTTGAGTTTCTGTAATTTAAATAGAATTAGTTTAAGTAATTAAACCAAGTGGCACAGCTAGGGCCATCCTCAGAATATCCACAGGGGTTCCTTTCCCTTCTCTAACCCCCTTACCAGGAATACGTACATCAGAGTTAAAAATTTCCTGATAGGTGATAGTAATAATAATAATCATAATAATAATAATAATAATAATAATAATAATAATAATTCTGAGTATGCAGAGTTGTTTACCCTCTGCTGTAGCTTCTACATATTTCTTTAATACTCAAGCTGAACTGGATTTGTTACTTTTTAGTGACTTATCAATAATGTTATTGATAATAACATAAAATAATTCTAGGATTGATGTTCCTATATTCTGCTGAAATAGCTCAATATCCTGTTTTAGTCTGTGCAAGCCAGGCCAGCTGTTTCATCTACTCAGACATAATTTACTCTTCCTAGTTGTGCTGACATAAATATTACAAAGTTTTGTAGCAAGAAGACTCTAATATAGGGGCAAAGTCTGTGTGCTTAGAGCATGCTAAGTAGATTTTAGGAATTTTTATACTGGTTAACATACCCTGGAAATTGTTCATGAACTACTCAAATTCTTTTCATGCCAGTTATAGAAACTGCAGTACTGGATGGTTTGAGATTGAGGCAGCCTGACAAATAAAATGGCTCTTCCAGGACATACAGCAACTCCTGTAACATGGATTAAGAATGAGCTTTCTGGGTATTTCAGGGCAAAGTGATGGCCTGCAAACACTGCAGTGAGATTTTCAGCAAGGAGGGGGCACTGAAGGTGCCTGCTGTGAGCACGGACAACAAAGGCATCGAAACAGACGACGAGAAGGATGCACTGAAGAAGCAGCTGAGGGAGATGGAGCTGGAGCTTGCACAGACCAAACTGCAGCTTGTGGAAGCCAAGTGCAAAATTCAGGTATGTGGAATCCAAGTACAGCAGGGTGGTCACCTTAACCTCATGCTCAGCCCAAGATTATTTTGAATCATACAAAAAATTGTTCCAGGTACAGCAGGGTGGTTGCCTTAACCTCATGCTCAGTCCAAAATTGTTCTGAATCACACAAAAAGTTGTTCCAAAAGGGAGCTCATACCTGCGTGCCTGAACTTTCAGGAAAAAAAGCTGTCTTAAAAAGAAGAGGATGATTTTGTTTGTGTCTAAATATCTTGTGCTGTTTCAGCAGTTTGAATGTCTTCTCTCCCCAGTGCCTGGGAGATTGCAAGGGAAGTGCCGGACTGCAGGGACTGAGTGTGAAGAGATGCTTCTTTGTTAATTAATGATGTTTTGATCAATTCTGACTATTCTGCTTTCTTAGGAGCTGGAGCACCAGAGAGGAGCCCTTATGAATGAAATCCAAGCTGCCAAAAACTCTTGGTTTAGCAAAACGCTGAACTCTATCAAAACGGCCACGGGCACACAGGCAGCGCCGCCGCCGCAGCCGCCGGTGCCCCCCAGAGAGGGCAGCACATAGTCCAGCCACGGCCGGCCCCAGAGCACAAAGAACAACACAGCCCAAACCTGGGAGGATTCTTCCACTGGCCCCTCCTCCTGGGCAAAGGACAATGAGGCAGGAGTGCAGGCTTGAAGTGAAATTCTTCAGTGTTTTTCATTCATTTTCTGATGTGACCCTTTTTCAAAGGGGGGGAAAAAAAAAAGTCCTGGTTTATGTTGAATTCGTACTTCCCATACTGCCTTGCTGAAAGCCACGTTCTGATACCTTCATACTTTTACACTTTATTTTATATGACTAGATGTTAAATAAATATTTCAAAACTAGGTCTTTAATACACATCTAATTTGAAATTGTTATTGTCTTGCATAGAAGGTTTTTCTTCTGGAGGAAGAGAGAGAATGGAAAATGTACAGTACTGCAGCATAATCTCTCCCTAGAAAGCACAGTGTAAGACATTGAGGATAACTTAGGCCCTGGGACCATCTCAGAAGTTTATCCCAGCAACTGCATCCTGCAGAGAAGCACTTTTTGTAAAGCTTAGGCCATAGCAAAGGTAGGCTTGTGCTCTCCTGGCACAATTGCTATGAGCTTCCCTTACAACTTCTTCATTTGGATTGGTTTTTCTTCAGAAATACAAGTAGTGCAGTTTTTGTAACACTGTTGTTTAAAGGCTATTTACAGTCCAACTGGAATTCCACATCAAGTTCCCTAGTTCCCTTTTTTAAATTCATGTTTCTATTAAGAATTCCAAGGAATAATGCCTTCCAGTGGGATAAAGGGAGAACCCTTTTGACAGTTATTTGGTGTTTTTGCTGAGAAGCAGAGTGGAGACCTTGCATGGTTTTGACCTTTTGTAAATCCTGTGCAATAAAGGGTAGGTTTTGTGAATAAAAGTAATGAAAACCCTGCCCTGGGTCTATATTCAGATTCCAAATTTGACACAGAAATGAGGTATCAAATAAAACACCCTAGAGGCTTGTGCTGCACTGATGAATAAAGTACCATAGAAACAAGATCTGTTTGCTAGAAGTGTTTGGTTAGGAAACACTTTGTTGGTATTACTTATTTTTATAAAAACAAGCATTTTCAAGTGGAATACAAGCCCTAGACTTTCCTGTGGGGGTAGACTTCTCTGGTGATTCCCAAACCTGTCTGGTTGTTTTATATCTCTTAAGGTAAGAAAGTTCAAAAGCATTTGTTTTGACTAAACATAAAGTGTTCATAGAAATACTTATTTCATGGAAAATTAAACTATTGCTTGAACTGATGGAATATTTTTTTAATTATATGTGTCATGTCTGAAGATGGTCTTGCAGGTAAATGTCATTGCTGGACTAAATGTTGTGTATTAATTGTTTCATTTACAAGATTTTTCCAGGGACACTAGTTCTGTTTTGATCTTTTTTTTTTTTTTTTTTTAATTCTAAGGAATGCCATACCTTGTCAGTTTTGTACAATAAAATTTAATAATACCCATCTTGTGCTTTGTTGTCAAGCATAATTGTGAATTATTTTCAACAGGGTAGTACAAGTTTAATGTTACCAGTGCCAAAGGAAAAATTCCAGAAGGCAGTCAGCTGATAGAAGTAGAGATTGAAATATAATCACCATCCTGACACAATTCTCTCTTCTAAGAATAAGGGGTTAAAAACTTTAATATTTTAAAATGTACCTTCAAGAACAGTGATTATCTGGAATCATTAATACAGATTAAGGGGGAAAAACAGAAGGTATTTCTTTTGCAAATGTTATCAAAGGTCTTTTTCCCTTGTCACTGTCTTGCTCATAATATTTGCATAAATGTTTCCATTCTCTCAACTGACTAAACCCAGTGTTAGTCATTCACTTACCAGTTCTGCTTCACATTCAGAATGTGAATCTGAATTCATAATAAATCTGAAGTGACATTTAAGGAGACCTGGTGAACATCTGATTGTTGCATTTGGGAGTACTGTGCCCATGAGGGAAACTGGTTATTTGACAAGTGTCTGAATTTCTCATTTCTTTTATCTTAAATCATACTTACAAGTGGATTTAAAACCATGATTGGAAAAGTTCAGTAAGAATGAGTAAAGAAATGTGTTAGGCTGTGATTCCCTGAGCAGAGGAGTTAAAAGCTCACTCCTGCTCACCCATTGTACAGTCCTGTCCCTTGTCCTTATTGTAGTGTGTACTGGAGATAATTAAAAACAACAAAAGAAGATGTGGGTGGATTTATCCCCCTACAGTTCATCTTTTGTCAAGTGAATGAGATGAATCACCTCAAGGGTCCAATGAGCAGATCATGGGAGTGGGACTTCCCAAATTCATCAAGAAGGAGCTGGTAAATAAGGTCACCATGTTTCACAGAACAGCTTTGACACAACATTCATTTTGGCAGTGTAGCTGCTTTCTGACTTTGGAAGTTGAGTTTTTGCTACCTGTTAGCTGTGATGATTTCAAACCCTTGTACAGATGGAAGCTGGCTTACCTCACCCAAAGGAAGTTTCAGAAAGCAATGACCCAAAAGGCACTAAACAAGTTCCACCTTCAGCTGTAGATCCAAGGTAGCATTTGTAGCAATGGCATTTGGAAGAGTAATATTTAGGTGGAAATTGCATCTTCTCAGCATTACTGAAAGAGTAAGAAAATAGCTCTATGACATTACCTTATGAATATTCAGAATGAAGGAAAGGAGCAGGACTCCATGATTAAAGCAGGCAAGCTGAAATTCTATCTGCTGACTATAGATACTATTGGGAAATTTAGTTTCCTGCAAGAAAAGAGATCTCTTAGTGACAGAACCACCTACACACATATCCTTGGTGGATTTGTCAGGGATAGCTGGCTTATTGCTCAGCTTTTCTGCAGGAAACATCATCAAGGTCTCACTGAAACTGTTGTTTCCATGTGGCACTGGAACAGCTAACATAGCTCCTATGTCTGGAGTGATCAACCTTTTTTCCCTGAGTCTGTAGTAAACTATGTGTTCAGATCAAACTTTTATTAAAATTAATTTGAATTTTATAAATATATATGTGGAACTAAAACCTATTTTTAAATTTTATTAAGAATGCACCATTCTGAAATAAAGTCTTTACTTTCATTAGGAACAAACCTCCAAAGAATATTTTTACTACAACTTTTATCTTGTTGGACTATAATCTCTTCCTGAGATGCCCAATATGGGGGGCAAAAAAAAAGAAAAAGTCCTTTTTTCACTTTAAAATGTTGGTTTTCCTTTGACTGTAATACTTTACAGGCTAAATGAAGCAAGGCTGATTTAGTTATGTGGTACATTTGTGAGCTAGTCTTGTATTATCTTTGTGAACCAAACTTAATATTCTAAAGTAATAGGACTTATTCCACTTAGTTTACGTTTCTAAATGTACCTGGAGAAGAATAAAAAGAAAAAAAAGAAAATACCATGTGTAGAGAAGCCAAGAAACTGTGAAATCCCTGAGGTGCATCTGCAGTAGGGTTTGGCAGGAAAGGTAGTCAGCCATGTAATCAGTACTGCCAGTGGACAAACCCACCCTTGTCCCATCTGTTAATGAGGATTTAATTGGCTACAGCTGAGTTACATTGCTACAACTAAGTTAAAGTGCTTACACAGGTAAGCAGTATTTTTTTTTTCGTTGTTAGATGTTTTAAATGATTTCTCTTAGTTGGCCCTCAAAATTTCTTTGAAGATAAATGGTCATCTCTGCCACAGTGTTAAGAACAACTTGAAATAAATCCAGCCATTCACCAGAGGAGATGGAGATAAAAAGGCAAGAACTGCAAGAGTTCAGCCCCTTCACAAAGCATGAAGCGCCCCATTGACTTCAGGGCCGTGATGCCACTCATTGACTGAACATGGTAGTTTAGGGGTAAATAAAAACCTGCATTTATTGGCACTAAAGTATCAATATTTGGAAGTCACATGCCATGCTTTCTCCACAGGATCAAGATGGGGCTGTTCCCTTTCTCCTATTAAGTAGCTGCAGTGAAATCCATGAAACTACTTGTATGTGTGGGAGAACTACAATCAGGTGATTTTCATTTCCTCAGAGGATTTTTGTTTACCGTTAGACTCAGGGATAATTGGCAACTTCTGCACCATCACCTAAGCCTAAACACCCTTGGCTTTGATACCAGAAGCCCTCTTACCTTACAGTGCTGGTGTTCTTCCAGCTGCTGGAGAGCAAACCATAGTAAGTGTCATGTCTGATGGATTGTGAAGAGAGGGCAGAGATGTTCCCCTCAGGTCTGAGGGATTGCTGTGGCTGACAAGCCCTCCCTGTCCCTGCTGGATCCTGCTGAGGGGGCTGCACCAGATGTGCAAGCACAGAGGTTAAAACTAACTTGTCTCCCTATTGTGCTAATATCCTACTGGGAACTGTCCCATTAGCTCCTTCCAGGTAATAACACTAAGGAGAGACGTGATGAAACACTCAAGTTTGGATCTCTCAGGTGTTAGGGGAGGTGTAGGTCACAGCAGCCTTTAGAATTGAGCTAATCCACTGGTGGCTCTTGGGAAACACAAGGAATTTGCAACTGAATAAATAATGTTCAGCATTGATCAAGACCTGATCCTTCCCAGGTCAGCAGTCTACACTATTTATTTCAGGATTGTGACTTAACACATACAGGTCAATTCTCCAGGAATACAGGGCTCTCCATTTCTCCTGGATCCCAATGGCTTTGCTACTGAATGTATTTCATGCTATTTTTACCTGAAAAACAAAAAATGGGTACAGAATTAGAATTTTACTTTTTATTATTTTCTTATTCCGGTGTGACTTGCTTTTATTTAACCTGTAAAGGAATATATATGTATCTTTGGAGAACTATATCTTACATATAGAATAATATATAAGAAACAGAACGACAAGGGGATAAATACATCAAAAGGATTTGGTATCATAAATTTCATTTGATACCACCAGAATCCTGGGCTGTACTAATTTCCTTACAGTTTCTCTTATTTTTGTACTTTATCTAATACATGGATGGTACTACCAATGCAAACCACAGCAGATGTTCCCAGATTTTTCTTCAGATCTCAATTCCTGCCTTTCAGTAATCCCTGGTTTTGTACCCTTGAAAGCTGTGCCAGGAGCTCTCTTGAGCTTTGGGAACTCCTGCTTTCCCATGGAAGAAGATGCTCTGGCTTCTTTGAACTAGGAAAAGATGACATATGAATGCAGAAAATTTCTAATCAAGCATAATCCATCTCCCTCTGTGTCTGCCATTGAGGTGGATTCGCTCCAGCACACTGAAAACAGAGCAGCTCCAAAGCTCTGACTCCACGACAATGAAGTTTTCCAGATTTGGGGTTGCCTTTGTGATCTGGGTGTGTCCCAAGTTCACAAATCCTGAAGAGTTAGGAAAACCAGAGAATCATAGAGAGGTCACACTTCCAGCTGAGAACCATTCAGTACTACCACTACTTGGGTAACATATCCATGTATTATATAAAGTACAAAATGAAAATATAAGTGTAATGCTTGTTATTAAAAGTGCAATTCAATGTACCTGGTCACAACAAATGTTTACTTTTTTAATTGTTACAGAATTGTTCAGATCAGTACCTTGTTATCATTGTGTGAACGATGCCTAGTAAAATAAATGGAAATGGAAAACAACTTGGGGATAAGATGCTTATTTTCCTAAGCCATTTGCTTAAGCAGCAGCTTAAATGTGTTTGCAGGAAGAAGCAGCTGCTGTGTCAGGTTTTCTGACGCAGTTGTCACCAGCAGCTCTGCTGCATCAGGGTGCAGTGACTTGGCAGCTTGGCTGTCCAAAGGGGGTGCATGCTAATTCCAGCCTGTTCTCAGGATCATGTCCCTGTTCACAGGGAGCTGTGCCTGAGAGCCGAGGGCTCACCCTGCTCCTCTGCTCCAGGGCCAGCAGAGAGGTGTCCAGCACAGAGAATGCTTCTCCTGGAGGTTGGTGACACACAGCAGTGGGATAATGGTGGTTGTTAAGGACTTGGTGCTTCCCTGGAGTACACAAGCCTTGAGGCAGCGAATCTGCAGGAGAGACACAGGGGGCAGAGGAAACAGCAAGAAACTGGCAAGTGACTGCTAAGAGAGAGGCAGGGCTGAGCAGGAACAGCACAGAGCAGAATGTGTCGCGGTCAAAAGTATCCAAATGCTTTATAAAAGCCTTTTTCCATGTGAGCAACTGCTCCAGGATTTATTTTCCATTAACTGAGAAGAACTGCCGTTGTTCCCAGATAACAGCAAAAGCACACAGCACTTCAGGGGGAGATAAGGCAAAGAGGGACAAAAGCTGAAGATTAAATTTACCAGCCATAACATTTTGTATGGATTTACCTCCACATCACTGTCCAAAGTGCTTGTCAGGAGAGGAGGCAGCATCCAGATGCTGCTGCAGCTTCCTGCAAAGGAGAGCTATGTGGAGCTTGTTTTTACATGACAAGAGTGACAACTCTGCCCCGTGGAAGCTGCCACTCAAAGGGAAGTGCCATGTGTACAGGAATGCTCATTATTTAAAGAAACTAAATAAACACTTAAAAAAAAAACAAACTTAAGGAAAAAACAAACTACAGATTCACTTCAAATGCATTTCTATGTTAACAAAAGCATTTCCTCCTCTAGCCAGAACTTAAATTAGAAAGGAATATAAATCTAAATTGTAAAAATAAGAGCACTTGACCACATAAAATACCACAACTATAATATAAGACCACTACTGAGTGTGGAGAAACTCAAAGATTAGTAGCTAAATTAAAAAAAAAATGTTTTCCTTCTCTCAGTTGCTGCTACATGGAAAAAATGATAAGGAAGTAATTTGAATAAACAACTGTAGGGACACAGTTTGTGGTGATTGGGAGTGGGTTACAGCTGTGAGCAGCAGGTGAGCAGCACTGACAGCAATGAGCCATGGAGTGCCCAGGGGCACTGAGCAACCACCAAAGGGAACAGAGGGCACACAGGTGCAGTGTGTGAACATGAGGGGATAAAAGGTTGGGCTACAGAACAAGAAGGGAGGTGCTTGCAGCCTTCTGAATTTATAGGATGTTATTCTGTATGGGCAGATGCTTGAAGTCTTCTAATGAGGTAAGGTGTTATTCTGTAGGGGCAAATGCTTCAAACCTTCTGAAACTGTATGGTGATACTCTGTGTATCCTGGCTGTCTCAACTGTAACATGGACTGTGACAAGCAAATCCCTTAACCAATTTAAAAAACCCAAAACCATGCCATTAAAGTAAATTCCAGCTGACCATATTGTATTTCCTGGATAACATCAACTATCCAGTCTCCAAATGCTATTCCTGAAGATAGTCAGGCTTATGCTTAGTCCTATGGAAATTTAGAATAACCACAGTTTATTTTGCAGATCTTTTCTCCACTGCAGGTCCTGAAGCACTGCAGCAGAGGGTTATAATAAACACCTCAGTGCAACATCTGTTAAAACCACTTTGGGGAATGCCAACTTGAACATAAATCTTTGGCATCAGGGCTTGTATGAATTCATTTTTTGTCAAATTTCTTCTTCCCTCCCTACCTCTACAGATCTCTTTACAGATTAATTCCTGGATGTTCACTTTAGAAGAGACAGAAACCCAGACCCTAAGCCCATGTATCAGCAAGTGAGCTGGCATTCCTCAGTTTGGTGAAACAGGTGCTATAACTGGCACCTTGCTTTGGAGAAATGGACTTTTTCAGCACTGAAGGGCTGAGTTCTGCCTTGGGTCACACTGGTTATAAAGGACATCTTGGGGCAAACACTGCCTCCTCTATGGTCCTGCTGAGAGTAAAAATGCCATTGCCTTCCTGTTTTCTTCCAGGGACATTTTAATGCCCAGTGGGGCTATAGAATTTTTTTTTTTGTTAGTGCTTACTGAGCTGATTTAGTAACAGTGTCAACAGTCATGTTTTTTTTTGATGAGAATGCTTAAAAGAGAATTTTGGTAGCATTACACCAGTATATTTTCACATGTGTATAGCCAAATGCTCTGTAAATAAAAGCTACATTTTCCTTGCAAATGGTTTGATAACCAAGTCTCTTACTCATAAAGTCACTCCCAGAGTACACATTGTGACATTACAGGTCAGGAACAATTTCCCAACAGTAACTTACTCTCTGGGTTTGTTGTAGAAAGCTTATTATGAATTTGTTCTGGGGGGTCTCCCTCTGCAGTGATGTGTGTTGAGGGCACCGTGCCATCCACCCAACTTCTACTGGATATGGTTGTTTTTTAGTTGATGAAATCTTAGAACTTGAAAGCTTAAACCTTGCTGGAATTGATCTTGAAGGTCTTTTTCTACTTTAATGAAAATGAGGAGCAGACACAGAACAGGGCACTTAGTTTACAAGCCCATCTTCCTTTAAAGCCCGGGAAGAGAGAATTCTCCCCTTTTGATCACTATTTACCTCCACCACATGAGCCTGATACTCATTTCCCGAAGAAAGAAAATAACACTTTATTTTGCAAAATTAATCTAGGATCTTGATAGCCACGAGCTCAGGGGCACCTGCTGTAAAATGAAGGGGAGATTTGTGATCGCCAATATAAAACCCAGCCCGTGCCCACCTCAGCCGCCCCTCACACTGAGCAGCCCGGGGGACGGGGAAGCTCCTGGTCCGCCCTCAGAGCCCGGGGGGCAGGGAAAACTGATCCTGCCCGTCCCTCAGAGAGCTCGGGGTGGGGAAACTGATCCTGCCCGTCCCTCAGAGACTTCGGGGTGGGGAAACTGATCCTGCCCGTCCCTCAGAGACTTCGGGGTGGGAAGCTCCTGGTCCCGGCCGTCCCTCAGAGGCCGGGGGGCAACGAAGCTCCTGATCCCACCCGTCCCTCAGCGCCCTCGGGGTGGGAAACTCCTGGTCCCGGCCGTCCCTCACAGCCCTGCGGGCGGGAAAAGCCCCTGGTCCCGCTGTCCCTCAGAGCCCGGCGAGGGCGGGGGAGAAGCTCCCGGTCCCGCCCATCCCTCAGAGCCCGGCGAGGGAGAAGCTCCCGGTCCCGCCCGTCCCTCAGAGCCCGGCGGACGGAGAAGCTCCCGGTCCCGCCCGTCCCTCAGAGCTTGGCGGGGTAGAAGCTCCCAGTCCCGCCGTCCCTCAGAGCCCAGGGCAGGGGGAGAAGTTCCCGGTCCCGCCTCCTCGGGGCCGGAGCGGGCGGGGCCGGGGCCCGCGCGTCACTTCCCGCGGCCGGAAGGTTCCAGAGGTTCCACGGGGAGCCGCCATGGCCGTGGCGCGGGAGGAGGTGAGGCGATTCCCGGCTTTGCTCCCCGGGCGCAGGCGGGGTCCGGGGCGAGGGGCAGCGGTGGGGTCCCGGCCGGGAGGCGGGAGCCGTCAGTCCCCGCGTTCGCTGAGGGCTGTGGAGGTCTCACCTTGCGGCGGTGCGTGTTGAGGGAGCTCTGCCATCCGCCCAGGTTCTTTTGGTTCCCGCTGGTTTTTAATGTATGAAGAGTTAAGCACTGAGAGCTTAAACCCTGTCTGAATTGATGGTCTTGGAGGTCTTTTCTAGTCTTGTGCTCTGAGATGGCCGTGGTTGAGCAGGGCAGTTGCACCCTTCCAGCCCGACCCATTCTGTGAATTAGGATTTTATGGTTGTACGTATCTACAGGAGTGGACAGGGGGTAAGGAAGGGATGATTCCGTGCTTAAATGGTTGTAGTGGGAAACTAAACTACTGACCTGATAAAGCTGAAATTCCAGCATCTGGAATACGTGAAGTTGTCATAAAAAGCTGCGAGCCCTGAGCACAATGAATGTATCTAATGTATACGTGTGATTCTTTGTTTTTGAACCAGTTGCAGAAAGATTTGGAAGAGGTTAAAGAGCTGCTCACGAAAGCCACTAGGAAGCGGGTGCGTGATGTCCTTGCAGCAGAGAAACAAAAGCTGGAGCTGGAAATCAAGAATCAGCCTCCACCGAAGCCAAAAGATGTGGCAGAGGAAGAAAAGTCATCGCTGGGAGGATACACAGTGAAAATAAACAATTATGGTAAGATTATTTTTCTGGAGCTCCAGCAGCTCTCTGAAGAGATGGCAGGGTGGCATTACTGGGAGTTAGAGTTGCCATTTAGCATCACAGTGAAGCCTTAATTGTTTATTCCACATCTCCACTGTTTTTTCCACGTTGGAGACCCCACTTTAAAAGCTACCACATGTTTACTTGCCATCTAAACCCCAGTGTATATTGATCACGTTTGTGTGAGAGTGTTTGGTGGGATGCATTAAGTATCCTTGCTGTACCAGCTGGTATTTTTCCATTGCTTAGTGTTTAGCAGGAATGTAAGAGTAAGCTTTGGCTTCTCTGCTCCCCATGTAGGTGAGAGGAGAGGGAATTGCTCAAGATGCAGGGAGTAGGGGAAGAATTGGGTCAAGGAAACTGCAGCAGAAGCAAACAGCTGGCTTGACTCCCCCTGCACAGCCTGGGTTGCTCTCTTTTGACCTGAGCTGATACATGGGTTTTCTCAGAATTTGCAGGGATTTGGGAGCAGGGCTACATGGGGGGACCTCCATTTGCTCTCAAGTTATTCCTGAATAATTCATGTTTTCCTTTTATTGCTCTGAAAATTGCTTCAGTAAGGAAAAGACCCTGGTTGTTCTAGGGGACTTTGTGGGGGAAGCTGGAGTGTATGAAGATTATGGAGGAAAGGTAGAACTTAATCCCTTTTTTTCACTTCCAGGTTGGGATCAGTCAGATAAGTTTGTTAAGATTTACATCTCTTTAAATGGTGTCCAGAAGCTTCCAGCTGAGAATGTGCAGGTGAATTTCACAGAGAGGTGAGTTCATCTTGCAGCACAACAAAAACACTGAAATGCAGGAGTGTTGGATTAGCCTTTTTTTCTCCACTCCCTTTTTTCTTTTTTTAAACTTCACTTGTATTAGCTTTTAGTAGCACTTGAGGGTATCAGGGTGTTTTCATTTTACAAGTGCACCTCACCATGCTTGACAGGGCACATAGTGTTAGCTCTGGGTATTTGTGGTTACAGAACTGAGGTGTACATTGAGAACGTTTTTCCAAGTTTGTAGGTAGAAAGGATCCTAAAGATCTTGATTTGTTGTGAGTCTGGATTGGTTCTTTTAATTTCTCTGTTAAAATGGAACTGAACATTTTGAGAGGCCTGGGAATAAAGTAATTCAAGCCTGTTGGCCTGTTTTCCCAAGAAGTACTCTACTTTCCAAAGAAATAGGAAAGAATAGCCTGGTAAACAGTTTTCAGGCAATGTAATGATTGGAATATTTGTGCTTTTCCTCCCTCCACTTCCTGGATCCAGGTCATTTGATCTGCTGGTGAAGAATCTGAATGGGAAGAACTACACCATGACCTTCAACAACCTCCTGAAGCCCATCTCAGTGGAAGGCAGCTCTAGAAAGGTCAGTGCACCTTGTCTGTTAGAGGTCCCTGAGGGCCCTCACAGAGGATCCTGTTCATTGCCTGGCTGGTTCAGGAGACTCCATTCTTATGTTCAGTGCCTCCCTTCTGCTGCTAGGTCTCTGCACCATGAGTCTTACTAATCTGTGATTGTCATAACTGCAGAATTAGTCTCTGGAATCCTATTTCAGGAGATCATGTCTGGATATTTAATAGCTCACCAACAGGATTTCAGAAATAATTAAGCAGAAAATACCACCAAGTATTCATTTGCATCTTTGTGCTTTTAAATACCTCTGAGAAATTCTTTGCGATTTTAGGAGATTTGTCAGCAGACTGAAATCTTGGGAAGCTTAAATAGGCTTAATTCCCAAAGCCAAGTCTGGAACCCGCTCTGCCTTAGTAAGGGTGTGTTGCTCCAGAACTGAATGCTGGTGTGGTGGTTTAACCCTAGCAGGATGTTAATTTTATAAGGGAGAAATTAACTCTATCCCTGCCAAAACCAGGACAACTGGTGACGTTGTACTGCTGCTGGCTGGTGATATCTGTACTCTGCTGCTTGTGGCACCTTCCCAGGCTGAGGTGTGTCACATGCCTCCTGTGAGTTCTCTGTTGTGCTTGGTGACATCAGATGTGAAGAACTGCTGGTTCATTTGGAAATTGGCCAAAAATGAGTACAGAGTGAAACTGAACCAGCTGAAATAAACGAGGGTGATGCTCTGGTGATTTTTAATACAGTATGAAAGTGAGCAGTGGTCATGTACTTGTTAAGCTAAGCTAAAGCTGCAGTAGACTTTTGTCTGCTGTGGCAGGCAGGAGTTCTTTGTGAAATTTAGGTCAGGGTTGCAAGTCAACAGGCTCTGTAACTTGCAAACATGTTGCAAGATTAAGCAATATCCCAAAACTAGTTTATTGTCCTTGGAGAAATAAATTAGAGGAGCCTCTACTTCAACTTGGCATGCTTGGAGAAGTCCAGTAAATATAGTCACTCTTTACCAGGCAGCCCTGGGTGTGTGAGCATCCTTCAAATCACTGGACAGTGTTCCTGCAGCACCTTATGTTCTTCTGAATTGGTACTGTAAATCTGTACTAGTGTTATATTAACCACATATGTAAGTTGTCCACAGTGGAGTTAATACTTTGTACCCTGAGGCTGAGTATATGCTATAATTTTTGTATGCTACATAATGCTGGATAGCTGAGAGAAATGTTTCAGCAATTTGAGAGTATGGAAGAGGCTTATCTTACAGGCTGACCTAACTCATTTTGACTGGCATCCCTTTATGAAGCATTCTGAATTCATGCCTTGCTGTTGTTCACCATACAGATAAAGACAGACATGATCCTTGTCATGTGTAAGAAGAAGCGGGAGGAAAAATGGGATTGTCTCACTCAAGTGGAAAAAGAAAGCAAAGAGAAAGAGTAAGTGTCTTTTCAACCCTCCATCTTGTTTTCCATTTCCTGTTCTCTGTGTTGTTTTAGGACTGTTGGGAGAGATCTGTACTGACTGTGCAGCTGTTCTGAGGATTTGTGGTCTGGGGGACAGGCCCTGAGATGTTGGAGGATTGTTAGGTTGGGATTTCTTTTGATATTTGTAGGACTGCAAGTAGAAGAAATATACTTTGAGTAGCTGCCATTCCTCCACTGTTTTATTGCTAATGATGAAGGCTGCATCATAGGATGTGTGATTGTGAAGAGCTGCACTGAGAATTCTGAAGGGAATCAACCAATGAAAGATTCATTTGCATTTTGATGGCTGCATTCATTGCAAAAACGGCATTAGTGAGGGGACTGTTTTTACATCAAGTGTGTATTATATAGAAATATGTGGGTAGATCCCCTGCAGCTCTACTGGTCAAAATCATTATTGTCACCTGGGTGTGAAGTGCCTGCACAAAAATCCCAGCATCAGCATGCCTTTGGCAAAGCAGGTCTTTGTTTACTTAGATGGTTTTCCACAGTCTCAAGCCAGTTTGTAACACTTCAAGTGCTTGGGAGCAGCTTAGACATGCACAGGTATGAGGGTGCTAAATGACAGCAGGAAATACCTGGGGACAAGAGACTTTATAAAATATATGTATATGTGGATCATATAATGATTTAATGTTATTTTATATGTATAGCCACCTTAAAGAATGAGAACACTTTTGAGAATTTTATCTCTGCCAACAACAATTCATTTTGTGTATGTTTTTAGGGTGATTTGCTAAAACTGATCAGGCATAAGTACCTGAATTTCGGGCAAAATTGCCTTCTCCACTCAAACGGCATCACAGGAGATTTAAGAGGAAGTGACTGGATAATTAATGCAGTTTTCTGGAGGGACAGGGTCACTTGGTTAAACCTGTATCTTGATTTACTGTTTGTCAAACGAGTGGCTCCAGAAATGCTGCTCCCAGGCAGGGTCTGTGAGCCGATGTTAGCCCTGAGCATGAGGAAACTGCTCCCTCTGCTGATCTGTTTGCATCTCCTGTGGTTTTGAGCTGCACTTCACTAGGACTACCTACGGGATTTTGGAAAATGGGATAGAGAGGGCATTATTTATAGTCGGGTCATACAGGCCATGTCCTCCACGGTGCTGACTGCGGGTGGCACTGTTCATCACCGGAGAAAATTGCTTTGAAATGCAATGTGTTAAGAAGTCAGTTAACCTCTGGAGATCAGCTGAAAAATGGGAAGCAGAAAAAAGCCTTTTGGGTTGTGAATGTGCTTGATGTGGTCATTTCTTCTCCATCTTTATTCACCTGTCATGTAACACAAGGCAGGTATTGGCACTTTGTCTGTTACATTTCACTTCTGCTTCCTGCAGTTAATTTTGGGAGTGCTTCCAGGGTCATGTTTACTGCAAAATGCTTCACATTAAAATACTGTCCCACCCCATGGGACATCTCTAGGTACACTACTTAACTTGCCCTTGATTTAAGGGCAAGTTTCTTAGAATTCTTCCTATTTAAAAGCCAACTGAGACTGCCATGATCTAAAGACTTTGCCAAAGCGAAAGTCCCACTCCCAGGCTGTTTCAAACAGTAGCACTTCCTTTTGTTGGGTATTCCTGACCTTCTCACGGATGTGTCTTGCAGGAAGGCTGCCTATGACACCGCAGATCCTAGTGAAGGGCTTATGAACATTTTAAAGAAGATGTACGCGGAAGGGGACGATGAGATGAAGCGCACCATCAATAAGGCCTGGGTTGAAAGCAGAGAAAAGCAGTACAAAGGGGACATACCAATGGATATCTGAAAGCACTCTAAGGGCCGCCTTAAAACTGATCTTCCATGTGAGACACGCTGTGCTGCAAAGATCATCGTTTACATAACCTTCTTCCAAGCAAAGACAGTCATTTTCCATTTCAGGTTGGAGAAAATATTTAAATAAAATAGCTTATAAAGCATTTCCTTCAGTCAAGTGGTTCAGCATTTCCTGGGAAGTGAAGCATAGGGTATATACCCAAAGCCTCTCAGATGAGAGGGGAGTGCTGTGAGACTGAGAACAGAATGTAAAAGGAAAGGAATCTTAAACTAGAATGGGTCAAGGCCTCTGTTGCCAGTGGCAGCTGGACCCACGTGGTTGCTGGGGCTAGTGTCATGCTCACTTCACAGGGTGTAGCTTTCTGATTAAAAATGGGAAAGTGCTGAACTATAAAGCATGTCACAAAGGGAGAACTGCTGAAGAAAGCAGAAATCTAAGCATTTGATAGTTAAGCAGAAACAATATGGTGTTAATCCTGTGGTATTCAAATTTAATGATTACTCTCAAAAACTATTCCTGTCTAATAATACTGTTACTATGAATTTTGGAAATCAGCGTGCTTGGGCTAGCTGTAATGAGATGGCATCTCTGAGATGGCATCAGTCAGGATGCAGTCTGCAGTCATCACAGGAGACCAGGGACAGGGAGCTTCCCCTGGCTCCAGCAGTGTACAGTAGGAAACAAGGGACAAGCTCCACTTTGTCCATCAGCTTTGAAAGGGTTTTAAGGTAAGAGAGTAAGTATATTGAGATGGCTTATACAACAAAATATCACTCAGCTGGGTGTGAGGGGTTGCTGTCAGTTTCCTGCTAGTGGTATTTGGCCTTTTCAATGCCACCCTCAGCCTCTGCTGGGGTGGGGGACATAGCAGCCACTGCCCCCCCTTTACTGTAGTGCTTTGAAGAAGAGTACAGGGCAAACATGACCTTAGCAGCAAGCCTGTTGTTAATTGTGTCCTTCCTGCCCCCTTCTCATGTGTCTCCCAAGGACAGATTTGTTGTTACCTGTGAATTAAGGAAGCCATTACTCTCCTGTTAGGGTCAGGACTAGGGCTTCCTTGCCACCTTGTTCTTGAAGCATGGGACTGAGCACTGCACTATGAACAGGAGAAATACCAGCACAGTGTAGTTTGTGACAGGTCCTTTAGCCACGTTGTCTGCTCGTTAATACACGTATATATTGAGTTAGCATAGCAAGAGTATCTGAACCTGAGGCCATGTTTTATTCCCACTCTGTGCTTGCCCTTGTTCACAGCAGAATACCACTTTGTCCTGTTGTGCAGTTTTACTGATGCTTTTACCCAAATTACCATGATGAACTTACCATATGATGGCAACAAAAAAAAAATTGCTTAAACAAGCCTTGTGCTGTATGTCTTTATTTCTAATATTGCCCATACCACAAACCTCAGCTTAGTTCTGCACCATCACATTGTGATTTTTTCTCACACTCAAACTGCCTCTGACACAGACCAGTTCAGTGCAGTTGTGCTGCTCCTTGTCAGCTGATAGCAATTGTAATCCAGTGAGTTTAATGAATCAGCACAACTCCTCCTTCCCTTATTAGTTTGACATTGATGCTGGGCTCTGAGGCAGGACAGTCTTGCTTTAATTACCCACACAAAAGAGCCAGGTTCGTTTCATCTGCCTGACTGCACAGGCACGTGCAGATTATTACCACATGGCTCTCTGGACACCGGACATCTGGGCGTGGTCAGCAAAGTGGCGGAAAACAATTCTGCTGAGCCTCCAGCGCCGCTTAACGCCCCGAGGGCGGGACGTGAGCACACAGCGGTTCCGGATCCTCACGGGGCAGCTGTCCCGCGGCAGGGCGGCGATCTCTTTGTCGGCCACCTCCTAAAACACGAGCACTCAAGTTTAGCTGTGTTCCCTGGGATCTAGAGGGGCCTTACTGCCACACCTCACAATCCAGATGTTTACTAGGTACCATCACAAGTTTCTCTACCACTTCATGAATAAGCTTTGCTATTTAATGGGGAGCTTTCACCTCACTCAGCCCACCCTTTCTGGGCATTGCAACAGTGAATGTAAACTAATCCACATGGAGACCCCCAGATTAATCCTATTACACAGACAGAACAATCTCAAGCCACTAATTTTAACCAGTCAAAGCAGCTTGTCTCTGTCCCTGTCCCTGGGTGGGCTAGCCCTCTAAGAGACCCAACATTTAATCTTATTACAGACTGAATAACCTCAAACCAGGAATTACAGTTAGTCAAAAACACACTTGGCTTTCTCCTCATGCAGGGTAGGTTAGTCCTTTCAGATGAGCTGAATTTAAATATATGTTGTTTATTAACTGCCTGCACTGAGGTAGCATGCTAGGATTTCAGTAAAAGAGATCTCATATAGGGTTCTTTGGAAGGTGTTACAGGATCTTCTTTTGGGGCTTTTTTCTGTATTGGTTTTGCCTCGTAAGGACATCCAGCACCAGTCAGACTTGCCCAAGAATGGTAAAGTCAATACATAAAAGCAAATCCATACACTTTTTCTCCCAGAATGTGTAAGTATCATGGTGAGATTAAATACAGGAATAATCTGATGCGTGCAGATGTTTTTGGTGCTTAGTAAGGCAGGCTGAGAGCAGAGAAATCAATTTTTAAGAACAGTTTTAAAACTCAGCTCTGATGCAGGCTTCACATGCTTGTAGTTCAGGCAAGAAGTAAAATTAAATATTCCTAATAGCACAGATTAATTTGAGCTAGATCAGGAATTCATATTTTTAAATAAGGGGAAAAAAAATCTAGAGTTTATTATTCTGAATTACTGGAAGTAAAGAAAATAGGTTTGACAATATATGTTAGGGGCAGTGTATGCATGTGACTTCACTGTATTTAGTGTTACATATGCTGCTTCCACAAACACTGCTTTCAAAAACCCCAAACCCAGTGCATGCACCCTCCAGTCAGGTGAACACGCTCTGGTTGTGAACACCCCCAGAAGGCTGAAGTCACTATGGAATATGACATGATTCTGTGCTGGTGAGCTGGGGAAACACAACACCTGTGACCTGGGACAGCCATTTGGATCTAGAAAGTGCCTGCCACGGCCCTGAGCACACCAGAGCAGCAGGAGCCTCGTGTGGCTGGGTGCAGGCAGCTGGCAGTACCTGCAGCTCCTTGGGGAGGATGGAGTTCTTGCGGATGGCGTTGATCCGCAGCCTCTCGTCCGCGTACTCGTAGGCCATCTTCCTTCTCTTGACGTCCCGCAGCATCCTCCAGTCCACGTAGTAGCTCCGCACCTGCCTTGGGCAGGACGAGGGGAGAACCTGAGTGAAAAAATAAAATTTGCGATACCTGCCTGTTGCATGTAGTTTGCCCTAGTCAAGGATGAATTGTTATTTCCATAAACCATGGACTATCCAGAGTTGAAAGAGACTGACGAATATCGAGTTCAATGCCTGGCCCCCACAATCCCAACACGTGCCTGAAGTGTTGCCCAAACATCCTTGAGCTCTGGCAGCCTTGGGACTGTCACCACTCCCTGGGGAGCCTGTTCCAGTGCCCGGCCACCTGCATGGGGAAAACCTTTCGCTAATATCCAGCCTAAGCCTCCCCTGACACTGCTCCAGCCGCTCCGTCGGCTTCTGTGTCTCCGATATCGTTTAACTCCCGGATCACACGTTACAATTCTTACACATCCAGCGCTGTCTACATCTCCCTCACGAGGGGCAGCACCGATCCTTGCTCTCTCTGACGAGTAACAGTGATGCCTTGAGAGCTTTAGCTTTCATACTTTCCAGATTCCCTACTGCATTAGTATATAACTCTGAACGTCATATAAAGTGTTAGCAAGTTCTCTTCACAGAGAGACACAAAGAAGCCCGAGCTACACCGAACGCTACATAACCCCGGACCCGTGATGTTCCCGCGCCGCGGGGACAGGGCCGAGCCCACAGCGGTCAAACACTACCCGCATCTCCCCTGCCCGCTCCCCGGTGCCTCCCCTGGGCGGATAGGGTCCCGGAGAGACGCGGGGAAGCAGAATAAGAGGAACGGAGGGGAGTGAGTGGGTCTGACCTGCCGAGCCGCCCTCAGCGCCCAGCACAGCGCGGCCGCCGCCATCTCGCCGCTGCGCCGCGCATGCGCGCAGTCAGGGCAAGGCCCGCCCTCAGGCCGCTCCCACCTCCTCCCAATGCTGCATTCCCAATGTGCATTCCTCGGTTTTTTAACCCTCTGCGGCTGGAATTGCGGTAAGATCCCCAGCCGCACCTGAGGGGTGCGCTGTGTTTATCATCTCAGAGCTGCTGTCAGGTCTCGCTGGCACCTCCCGTCATTGGAGGCAGCTGGGTCTGCCACAGGAACGTCAGAGTCCGGCCCTGGCTGCAGCAGAGTTATCCCAGGCTGAAGGGGAGCGGCTGTGAAAATGACAGGGAATTTATCCCAGCAGGAAAATTGACTCAAAGGCATCGTCCTGCCCTTGTGGGGTCCCTGTCTGTGAGCCCATGGTCCATGAGCGTCCTGACCGCTTGTGCTGCTGCGGGACAAGCACCTCTGGGCCAGCTCTGTTCCTTAGCGGCGTCTTTTGCTTGTTTATCACCTAGGACTGTTCCTAAATTCCTAGGTTTATACCTGTGCCTTGCAGGGGATTTTTGTCCTGGGGGGTTTTGAATTGTAGAATATTCTGAATTGGAAGGGACCCATAAGGATCATCGAGTTCAGCTCCTGGCCCTGCACAGGACAACTCAGAGAATTCCACCGTGTTAAAAACGCCAATCACTTGTTTTCAAAACTTTAAAAGTTTAATAGTAATAAAATGGTTATATAAATAGTAATACAATTAGAGTAATAATAATTTGGACAAATTGAATTAGGACAATATGAGACAATAAATACAAAGAGTTACGGACGTCCAGGTACCTTTTTCTGGGCAACACGAGCCCGAAAAAGGACCCCCACGAACAAAGGATTCACCCTTCAAAACAACAGCCTGTTGCATATTCATACACCTCATCCATGATGCATAAATTCCATTCAAACACAGGATTCTGTCTGGTCATCATCAGCTTCTTCCTCCAAATCCTAACAGCGCCTTTGAGGCGGGAAGAAGTTCGTTTCTTCTGATAAGAGGACAATAAATTCTTTTTCTCTGAAAGATTTAGGTGTCCTGTGGCTGCTATCTTGCTGCAAGT